CTCCCAGGCACCGACCAGGAGCCCTCAGGGTGCTGGCACGCAGCTGCTAAAGGTGCATTTCAGGTCCTCCCACATGTGCAATTACTAAAAAACAGAGCCTTTCATGGTGGCTGCCCAGGGGAAGGACTGCCGCACGGCCCACACCCTGCGCTTTCATCCCCAAGAAGTGCCTCTTCCCAGCAGACAGCTTGCTGCCAGCCCTGAGCACCATCACTTGTCTCCCTCCTTTTGCCCCGGGGGTTTTGGCACAGGCCAGTTTGGTACAACCTGCAATCCACATCCTGGGGATCCCCACTGAGCTGCCAACTGCTATTCCTGTGCTGGAGGGGATGCAATCGCTCCACTCTATCTCTTGTTGCTGCTGCAGCTCTTGATTCAGTGCCTGGGGAAACCTCACTGGAGAGGCGAGCTCATAGTGATTTAGCTTCGTGCTCAGTGACACATACAGAGAACCAGACAAGCGGCCATCAATGACAAATAAAAGACCAAGAGTTAAAAAAGGCAGCCATGGTTGGGTGATGCTTCTCCAGCAGCCGCAGGCAGCTGAGCGCAGGACGGGGCCGTGCCTGCCCCATAGCACTCCATCAGGCACCGAAACCAGCCTGTGCCCTTCACATCGGCCCCACAGCCCAGCTTCCCTGGTGGCATCTCCACATGTCACATCCCACCTTGGCTGCAATCCTGCTCCCAGACCGGGCTCGGCCACCACGGCTGGCCCCAGCCCTACACCCCTGCCCAGCACGGCCATGCTTCCTGTTTGACTTCTGTTTCAGGATCAGGGCCTCACCCCAGTTAACTATTGACTTGTGCTGGGGGCAGTTTCACCACAAGACACCCTCTCCAGCCCTTTGGCAGGTGCAGCAGCTGGCCAAGCATTTCTATGCACTGTGGAATTTATAAGCCCTCTGGCAAACGGCACTCTCCCATTGAGTAACTCAGCAAAACTCAGTCAGATTGACTCCTTTTGAGACTACAAATGGCATTATAGCATCCTCCATTCTCCTGTGGGGGGACCAGCTCTGGACACATAGCGGATGTGCACCCATCCCACACCAGCCCTTCCATTCAGTTTTGCAGGAAAACCCCAGACTTTTGGAGAGGTGACTCACTGGGTGTGGGCACAGGTGACATCTGGCAGCCCCCCTCGTTGGAGCTGCCTCCCCACCCTGCACTATAACAATGTCTTGTTCATGGTCAGGGACCTGCGGGGAGAGAGAGGGATGTGTGGGGCTCAAAAGCAGTCAAAAAAAAAAACAAACAAACAAACAAAAACAAACCTGACAAAGGCAGTAGTTTCAGGGGAAGAGAAGTGAATCTTTTCTGCAGCACTGGGAGGAAAGGTGAACATTCACCCACTGCATCCTAGAAAACCTCCCTGTGAGGGCAAGGATCTGCCTTGACAGCAATAACTTGGCACTGCCAGGAGGCACTTTAGTCCTGAGCAGTCTTGGGGTGGAGCCTTTGCCTTACAAAGGCACAAAGCATATTTGCAATATTTGTTCCTGGAATGGTTTTTAAGCAAATATGTTTCAGGTTTATTAAACTCTATTTATCACCCACCACAGTTCCTTCCTGTCCCTCTCTCTCCTGCGAGTCACTCTCTGACAGATGCCAGAGCACAGTTGTCTTTTTTTCCAGTACAGCCTTAGCAAAAAGAAAAAAAATCCGAACAATTAAAAGATAATATAATAGAAATCCCAGGACAGGGCAACCCTCTTATAATGCAGTCAGGTTCCAGGAATTTCACCACCCAGGGACTTCACCGAATAAATTTTACCTGGGATTAAGGTGAAGACAAATAGCCCAAATAAATACATGACTTCCCTAAAGTGTTAGTGTTTATCGGTTTATTTTTCCATTTCTCTTCCTCTGCAATGAAATCAATATGTGCATAGAAAAAACATTAATTCGGTGAAGGAGAGCCCTGTGCAACGGGCCCACGTGACGCCGGCGTCCACCACAGTGGCAGGGACTAAATGGGGACGGTTTTGCGAACCCAGTGGAGTTTTGCTCTGCTCATTGTGTCCGAATCACAGCCCAGGTCTGATCCCTTGCCAGCTCCAGGCTCTGCTCTCGGTATTTGGGGTTGGGGGGAAACTCAACAAGGTCCAAAAGCAAACCAATATCAATTTCGAGGACTTTGCAATTTGCCAAGGGGGATTTCAAGGACTGTTCTTCTACCCCCATCACACCCATCAACAGATCAGGCACTGGGCTGGGGGGCCAGGCATGGGAGAGGCTCCCTGCATTTAAAAAGCAAAACTTCATTCTGAAAGGACCAAAAGGCAAGAGCCCGGTGCTGTCCTGCCAGATCCAGCCACAGGCAGCATTTGTCCTCCAAAACCTTTAAACGGTCCATATTCGGGTATGTGGCTTTTCCACCAGCTCAGTGAAACGGGCTTGTTCATGCCAGCTCCGACACGAGTTTTAAACCCATTTCAGGGATACCATGCCAGGGGGCTGGGGTGGGCCAGGACAAGGTGGCACAGGGAAGGGCTGCGAGTGTCAGACCCCCATGCAGAGACAGATTCCTGCTCACAGTTACCTTCCTCTGGGAGGAATAGCAGTAGAGAGGAGAAGAGAGATGCTGCTGGGAAGCAAGTGTGCTCAGCTGATATTCTATCAAAAATACACTGCTGATACATGAGAGTACACAAATACCTTCCAAGGCTTTCTTTAAAATGCTGATAAGCCATGAGGCCACTCTCCCATGGAAAGCCACTAGCTCCCTGCCGGACTGGCTTCAGCAGCTCCTCCTTGCCACAGCCTCACAGCAGACATGGGCACAGCAGACGGGTCTTACAGGGAGCAGTGCCGGGCTTCAGACCATTGAAACATCACTGCAGGACTGCCACTCTGGCTGGGCACTGGCCACCCTGGCCAACTGCAAACTCCCTCCAGGGTCTCCGGGCAACCAGGAAAGCAACAGATTTCTTCCTGCAATGCAGATTGCTTTCCTCCTTGTTTTCAAGGCTGCCTAAAAGCCCCATACGGTGGTGCTGCAACCTACCCCAGGGTGCAGGTGAAGCCAAGGGGAAGCATCTCACCCGGGCATTGAGGGGGGAAAGCCGGGTCCATCCTGCCCAGGGGGCCAAGGGAGGACACTGCACCAGGGCCACAGTCAATCACATG